TAAAAAATATATGTGAGTGCACAGCCACAACCACTGTTTTTCAAAACTGATCGTATGTGCAAGCAGCAAGAAATAAACTTTCAACAAATGTGAAGGGAATCATAATGATATAATTACTTCCCTTGCATCTTGGGTTTACTTACTGGAAATCATTTTGACAAGATTTGAAATGAGGAACTTTCTAAGGTGGAAATCCTAATAGGAGGTGAAACAAATTGAAGAGAGATCTTAAAGCCACAAACTGTGAGACCTTAATTTATTGTTTTCCAGTTCTGTGCTGCTGGGTTCTTATGGTAGAAAATTTATAACATGCTATAAGCATAAATAATGTGAAATGTTAAGATAAAAAGGACAGATATGTGTGAGGTTTAGGTTTCTAGAGGCACATGTGGGTGGCAGGCAGCAGCCCACAATCATGGGGAAGTTATCAAGCTGAGACTTCTCTGGGGATTTAGAATCGTGGTCCTGTACAAATTCAGAAAGGAAGTCAAGCTCAGCTGACCACATTTGTCAAGATGGTTCTATTCTCCACTCCTTGGCTCATCTTAAATATTTTCTTTCTTCTGTAATTATACTCATCTCCATCCACCAATGGCATGGGCAACTCCAGAGTGTTTCACAGGTTCATTATGTATAACTTAGAGATTTTTGTTGAAAGTAATTATGATGTGGTCAATAGTCAAATTAAGCAATTTAAATTTAGGTTGATTTATTTTTATAAATTTTATCTCTCCTTCCTCCTTCCATCCCTCCCTCCCCCTCTGTCTCCTTCTCTCTGTGTATATGTGTGTGTGCCACACAAGTGTGTGAATGTTTGAATACCAGGTGTGTGTAGAAACCAGAATAGGGTTATTGGAATTTTTGGAGCTGGAGTTACAGACAGTCGTGATCTGCCATGTGTGGATGCTGGGAACTGAACTCAATGCCCTGGAAGCAAGAAGTGCCTTTAATGGCTGAGCCCTATTTCTAGCCCTACAGAACATTTTGAATATTTTTTTACTGATAAATAAGTCCCTAATGTTTAGATTAGTATCTAGCATATTGGAGATATACAGTTAATATGTGCCAAATGAATGAAAAAATATAATTATTAAATAAATATTTATGTGTAGATTATCTGATTTGGTACAGAAATGCTGGTGGTTGGTTATATTCATTGAACTAGAAATTTTGGTACAATGCTGATGGCAGTTTGAAAACAAGACAACTTTTGCATCAGGTTCCTTGGAGCCCTCTTACTCTCTATTTTCCATAAGCTTCGTTATCAGTGTCTTTATTATCACAGTAAATGGTAAAATGCCCTTAACCTTAATGCTACCTCAGTCTGACTCAACAGTACCAGGTCTTCTTCCAAACTATGAGCCCCTGACCCCTCTTCTTAGACCATATCCTCGGTAACTGTAAATTCTTTCTCTGCCCCTGAAATGAAACTTTTGACCCAGGCTCTTTGCTGGTTTGCTGTGCAACAATAGCTTTCCAGGGGACCTAGGTATTATCTCTTTATAAATAACCATCCAAAAGGACACATATATCCCTCTGTTTGTGTCCTAATCACATTGCCCAGTCCCTCTAAAGACCTCCAGCTCTTCCCCACTATTCAGTTTCCCCTTCTGCAAGAGCCTTGGCTCTCAATTCAGTTGGACAGAGTTTTTTGCCTGTTTAATTTTGCCAAAACCCTTTTTCTCTGATATAATGTGGAAATAAATTGTGTATTTTGATTAAGTTGTTCAGATCCCATTCTCTTGCTTGAGAGAAAAAGATTACTAACTGAAACAAAAAGAGACAAAGAATTTTAACCAAAAAGTATGTAACCTCACAGAAAATGAAACTGAAAATGTGGAATCCAAGAAACTCTAAAAAGTAACAGAAGAAGGAAGCCATGTAGACAGTCTCTTTATTGCATAGACTTTTAAAATTGAATGTTTCCATACTTTTATTACTATGTTCCTTGTAAACAAGTACTTTCAGGTTTTCATTCTGCATCACTGTTCTCCAGAATTTTTGTTGACTCAATTCTGTTCATGTGTCAGTTGAACTTAGAGGTCTTTATCCTTCTCATTATTGCTGATTTACCCCATGTTTCTTTAGTTTAATTTGTGAAAGAAAAAGACACATTCCTTCTTGGCCAATACTAGACTGGTTTCCCTTAATTCAAGTTCTTACACTGCCCTCAAATTAAATTACATATTAATAGAGTTAAGACTCATTAAAATGAAGGCTGGCAGAGCCAGAGAGAATGGGGACACTATGAAAAGGAGTCAGAGCATACCCTGGTTTTACAGAAATATACATCTTTCTGTGCCCACAATAACAAATGTGTATCTTAGTGTGGCACTCCTATCAGTTCTAGATATGAATAAAATGAAAATGGGACCTCTATATTTCTGATTATCAGTGTTTAGGCTGTGAATAGGAATACAATAAAATATTCTGTTAAGACACTCCAGGAGGACTTCACTGTACAACAAATAATTGCCAGTTTCCTTTTAATGTCATGCAAAGCCACTGAGAGATTTGAAGTAGAGGGTAACATGATTACTATTTTGAATGTTTGACTTTGATTTTAAATATCTACAGCCAATCTTTACAAAATAAAAGAAAATAGGATTAATAGAAAGTGTAAATAGACTTAGTAACAGGCTACTTCTCGTGACCAGGAGACAAATGGCAGCATTTTAAACTGTGACCATCATAGTAATACATAATGGAAAATCTCCAGACAAGAATCCTGAATTGCTGCAAATGTGCACAGTGAGACTTACTAATGGTGTAAGAAGAAGGATGAAGAAGAAGGATGGACTTCTTTCAGACCTTGCTGAGAAAAAGGAGAGAGAAGGACTAGTGCTGCTTATCACAGCACAAAACCTACACTGTAGCACAGACCAGGAAAACAATGAGCTTTGTGGTCAGCATTAAGACATTTAAATCTACAGGCCTCAAAAAAATGATTAAGCAACAGAAACAACATTGAAAATTTCAAAATTCGAAACGAATGACATTGAAAATATGACTTTGAAGTATCCATTTCACTGATGTTTATATGCAAATTCCATATCAATTATAGCTCTAGAAGAGTAAAGTTATATAAAAATATGCAAATAAGAAAGCAGTTATAATAATAGATTACTGAATTAATATTTTAAAATTGTCTACAGTAATTTGTTACTTACAAATATATTAGAATGATACTTGGAAAAAAATCTCATCATGATAGTTATAAAATTGACAGTGAGCATTAGGCACTTTTAGATTTTAGCTACACAAGATCTAAATAGAATTGCAATATATTCAGTTACAGCACTATGCTTTCCAATACAAAGGCACTAAATAATTACTTCAGCATAATAAACCTAAACTAGAAGTTATATAAATGATAAGGAGGCTGAGATAACAAAAGCAAAAAACAAAATATGATGAGCTAGATTTCTAATACATTAAACATATAACTATGCCATTTTTCAAAATGATTGAATTGGATATAAAGTCTGATCCCTAAAAAACTAGAATGGAATGAATACGGGAAAAGAAATAAACCTGGAGAAACCAGAAATCCTTAAACATGTATATACCATTCTGTTCAATGTTTCAGAAGATATAATGCCCTTTGACTCCTCAATTTAAATGTTCACATGAACAGTTAGTCCTCTTCATGGCCTCTGTTCTGCATGTGCAAATTCTAACAGCGCTGAGTCAAAAATACACAGCATATAAAGCAATGGGTTTAGTTAAGACATATTCCTGCATAAACATCATTCTACTTGGTTTTTATTCCTTCTGATTTACCCACTGATTTCCTCCAACCTACCTGCTCCCTTCTTGTTGTTTTCTCTCCCACAAAGGTCATCCCTTCTGTTTTCATGCACCTTTTATCTCATTTACTATTTCATTTTCCCTGATTTAAGAAGTCTTCCCCCTCCACTGTATAGCTTCTACCTTCCTGACCTTCTATTAGATTGGAATATAAAGTATGAGACAAAGTAGAAGAGAAAATATATTGTCCTTGTCTGTCTCAGTTTGGCTTATTTCATTTAACATCATTCTTTCTAGTTCTATTTTCCTGCAAATGTCATAATTTCATTTTTTTACAACTAAATAAAATTCTATTATATGCATCACATTTTCTTTTTTTGGTTTTTTTTTTTCACATTCTCTTTATATAATCATCCTTTGATGGCTAGGTTGATTCTATTCCTTAGCTATTAATAATGATGACACACAGTCCTTTGACATACTAACTTTGTTGGTAGCTGAACCACTTTACAGTTATTAGCAGAGTACAAAGATTCCTCTTTCTCCATGTTTGTATTTGTTTTCCGTTGTGATGAAATGAAACTCAGATCTTCACTTTCAGGGTGGCTATGGTGGTTGAGTTATTTCTCAATATTTATTAGGAATTTGGAATTCTTTGAGAACTGCCTTTTCATTTAATTAGTCTAATAATTGATGAGATTATTTTGGGAGTTGCTCTTTAATTTTTTCACTTCATTGTGTATTTTAGATATAAATGCCCTTTCTGATGTATAATTTGTAAAGATTTTCTCACATTCTTTAGTTTATTTCCTTGCCATAAATACTGTTTTCTTTGCCATGAAGACACTTTTATTTCATGAATCCCATTTATTAATGCTTAGAATTAGTTCTTGTGCTACTAAAATATTTTAATTAAAAACCCTTGCTTATGCATATATTTTTTAATATCATTTTATAATCGTTTATATATTTTGATCATGTTCTTTCTCCTCCAACTCCTCTTGCTGCCACACCACCCTACTTCATGTTCTCTTTCTTAAAACAAAAACAGCAATAAAAGCATACACAGAGAGAGAGAGAGAGAGAGAGAGAGAGAGAGACAGAAATTTAATTTGTGTTGATCAACTACAACTGAGCATGGGCTTGCCTTGGAGTGTGGTTGATACACCCAGTGAGGCTTCATTGAACTGATTTTTTTTCTTCCAGAAGCTATCAGTTGTAAATTTTCTTGACTAGGATTTTGTCCTTACTTCTCCTTTTCCATATTGGGATTTGTCTGGCTTATGGTCATGCAGCTCTTACGCATGTTGTCATAGTCTGTGAGTTCATAGGAGCATCATCCATACTGTATCTGGAAATTGCTGCTTCCATAAAATAATCCACCACCTCTGGCTATTTCAATCCTTATTCATCATCTTCCATGTAGATCTCTGGACTTTGTAGGGTGGTTGTGGTAAAAATATCCTACTTAGTGCTCTGTGCTCTAATGTCTTCTTCTCAACATGTCATCCAGTAGTGAGTCTCTATGTTAATTACCATTTACTGAAAAAAACTTCTCTGAGGAAGGTTGAGGGATACAGTGATCTAAGGTTATAACAACAAGTAGCATAAGTTGTTTTATTATTGTCTTAATTCAGTAGAAAAATAGTAGTTTGTTTACCCCTAGAGTCCATGAACTATATGTTCTCATGTTCTTGGCCTCTTTATCAATGTCAGTTGTGAATGCAGATAAGTCCAATAAAAGTGTTTGGCTTCCCCCATTATACCCATGCTTGATGGGGAATGTACTGTGTATGTTTATCTTATTGATTGTTAAATAAAATACTGTTTGGCCAATGAGACAGCAAGTTAGACGAGACTAGGAGTCAAAGAGGATTCTGGAAAATGTAGCAAAGAAGTGGTGATCCAGACAGGAAGTGACATGGTAAGGAGACTCATATTTAAGTGAAGGAGAAACAGGAAGGGTCCTTTTTGCCCCTTGCTCCTCAGCAACACAATGTGAGCCACCAGCAAGGAGGGACGCCAATAAGGCATCCGATAAGTCTTATAACATATATAGATTTATGATAATTAAGACTGAGCTAGCAGAAGAGAAGTCCTAGTCATTGGCCAAGCAGCTTTGAGCCTAATACAAGTTTCAGTGTATTCATTTGGGGCCCTAACTCGGGCAGGCAGCTGGCATAAACCTCACACGTTGGCAGTGGGGCTCAGGCGGCTTTTGGCGGAAAGATTTCTCATAACAGAATGGTGTCAGTGAGCCGGATGACCCCATGCCCCAAGGTTCCCAGAGAAAGAGGGAAACCTGCCTCCACAGCATACCCGGTGGGGCCACTGAGAGGCATTGGAGCAGCTTCCATATGCTCTCGACGTCCTAGCACTCTTGGGGTTTGGACTCTGGCACCCCGAGAGGGCCTCCAGTCTTGGAGGGTCCTAGGGTTGGGATTCTGAGCTCTCACTGCCGCAAGCTGCCTTCCTGCCTTCTGGAGACTAGTCAAAGAGCGGCAGAACCCGGGCAGCTGGAGGTGGTGTTACAAACTTTCATGTAAACTTTACAAAAGCTTAAAAAAGGATTTTAGCAGCAAAAGATCAGAGACAAGTACAACTTCATGTTAGCAGCATTTTCTTGGGCGATCTCTGTTTTGCTAGAGACAAGCAGAGACTTGAATGGTTGCTTTAAGAGAGATTTCCTGACTCAGCAAAAGCAGAAAAACCCGAAGACAGTGGCTAAGAAAGCCGCCACTTTAATTTTGGCGATGTTGTTTAACAGTTAAAAGTCTGGTGGCCAGAAAAAGGTAAAGATTTACAATAATGGCAGATCCAGATAAAGGAAAACCTCAAAAGGATTACACTGCATTTAAAAATATATGTAGGCTTGTGAGAGAAAAAATAACAGAAGGAAATAGAGTAGCTGGTTGTGGTGGCTCACAAAGGTAGGATTTGCTGAAGGAAGCATAGGCAGGCAGATTTCCACAGAGAAACCCTGTCTCAGGAAAAAAGAAACAAAAGAAAGTAAAAATAAAGTAATAAAAAGCCACATAAAGATGGAAAATACACAGAGAATCTGGATACTATATACCATATTGTTGTCTTTAAATTCTTTGATTGCCGAGAAAAGACTTACTGCTACTAAAATACATTTGATTATAAATGCTGCTAAATTAATCCAACTTATACATTTTAAAAATGCTTTGACTTCAAAATTTAAGTCTAAGGACAGGCTACTTAGAAATAAAGGTAAGGCTTTGCTTGTATTTCCACAGAAAATAAGAAGCTATGGATTCCTTCCAGACTAATATGGTTTGATCAAGCAAGACCCTCTGAAGCTGAGACGATACAGCCTTACAGACTACAAAAACAAGGACTTGGTCAGGTTTCCATGTTTCATCTGATCCTAATGGTATAAACATCGACCCCAATCAGCAGGAAGCAGTTTAGAAAGAACGACGCCCATATTCCCAAATATTGTTTATAAATGTTTGTTTTCATCTAAATGGGGTTAGTTATAAGTGATAATGTGCATAGTCAATTTTTTAAAGAAAAAAGGGGGAATAGGATATAGGAATGAATACTTTTCATTGGTATAGATTTTCATTAATTGATACAACTTTAAGTTCAATTTTGTGATACGTATATGTCTCCTCTTGTTTGGGTATTATGTTTATACAGAGCTTTTACCTATAATAGAACTTATAATTAGGTTAATTAGGTTTTCTAGATATAGAGATATATTTGAGATGGTTAGGGATTCTTCAAACCTTTCAAAGACCTACAGAAATATGGCATTTAAATGGTTTAGGGTTTTTCTTGGCAGTAAGACCCTACTGCTCCTGGCACACCAATTTCGTCAGAAAGGAGGATGGGCATTGAAGATACTCATTATGGAGTTTGCTTTCAACATGGCAAGATTAGCCTTTTGGGAAAGAAACTGCTCTTGCCTGGACTGTTTGTTGCTGTATAAACTGGACATGCAGGACCCACAAGAAAGTGACTGCTGAACTTACAAAACAAGCCAGTACTGAAGGGGTCCTGATGAAATGGAGAAGTGTGCCAGACACACTGTGGCCTATTGGCTGAAGATGGATGCCCCAACGTTACAGAGGAACCTTGGGTGACTGTCCAGGTATTGAGATTTCTCTGTCAGTTCTAGAGTTATATATTATCCTTCTGTGGTCTTTGATAGAATTGAAGACAGATAGTTGTGGTTATAGTTTTCTTCAGTTATTATAAAAGATAAGTTATCCTTTTTATTTAGACATAAAAGAGGAGATGATGGGGAATGTACTGTGTATGTTTATCTTATTGATTGTTAAATAAAATACTGTTTGGCCAATGAGACAGCAAGTTATAGGAGATTAGGAGTCAAAGAGGATTCTGGGAAATGTCGTAAAGAAGTGGTGATCCAGGCAGGAAGTGACATAGCAAGGAGACTCATATTTAAGCGAAGGATAAACAGGGAGGGTCATTTTTCCCCTTGCTCCTCAGCAGCACAATGTGAGCCACCAGCAAGGAGGGACACCAATAAGGTGTCTGATAAGATAAGTCTTATAACATATAGATTTATGATAATTAAGACTGAGTTAGCAGAAGAGAAGTCCTAGTCATTGGCCAAGCAGCTTTGAACCTAATACAAGTTTCTGTGTATTCATTTGGGCCTTAACTCAGGGGGCGGCTGGCAGAGAGCTCACACGTGGTGGTGGGGCTCGGTTGGCTTTTGGCAGAAAGATTTATCGTAACACATGCTACTATTGTTTATGTGAGTATATCATGCAAGCAAGTCAGTGTGTAGCAATAGGGTCTTACTGTCAGGTTGTGAAGGGTAATCAATAGCATTAAGAATACCCTATAATATTCTGGGGAGTATATAGGACCCCTTTCACCAATGATTCAAAAAATATGTAATGGATTTCCTGTATGAGGGCTGTAATTGAAAGCATATGTTATCTATTTGGGGTATTGTATTCCCTATTATATGGTAGTAGAGGTTATATGATTGGATAATATATTGATTACCTAATTGATATTCATAGAGCAATGCCTTATAGGTGATAGTGGAGTACTCTAATTTAATGCCACATACTCAGCACTGACTGAGTAGGCAGCCTGTTTCTGAGGAGGGAGAAATGAAAGACAGAGAGGGTGGAGAGAAAAACAAGTGACTGTTGGCTGAGGTTGAAAAAGGGGGGTTACTACCATAATAGAAAATAGTGGATGGATCATCTGGTTTGGGCTTCATAACTAGGAGTTGTTTTCTCCTTGATTTGTTTATCCAAAAATGACTTCATACCATATGGTTTGTTTATGCACCTTAGCAAAAGTTTAGAGAACAAAACCAAATGCATATAAAGTGAGTAGCAATAGTCCCCATTGGGAATAGTCTGTCCCTTTATTTTGTTTTGTTCTCCTTTCTGTCATATAGCAGGGGGCTTTTCTGATATGGGACAGAGATTTATTTTTTGAGGAAACCTTTTAAACAAGCTTGCTTGGATCTGGAGGAGGGGGAAGCCAGACCCCAGAGCCAGCTTTTGCTTGTTAAGTTGGATGACATAAAACAATTGTCCAATGTCACTCATACCTAGAGGAACCCTGAATCTCAGTAAAACTGAGTCCAGTAAGCTTAATAAAGTAGGCTTAAGATAGTAATTTTTGAAACCTAGGTAGAGACAGAGGACACTGCAAGAAGGATCTGAGAGATGCACCATTCAAGGAGTAGTGTTTACCACAGCTGGCCTACTCCTTTGCTTTCATCCCCTACTAGATCCAACTTCTAGCTCCCACTTTTCAAAATGCTTATAGACCTGGACACAAGGGGACGAAGATGAAGATTGTGCCATGAACCTCAATGCCCCAAATCAGCAGAAAGTAGTCTAATGATAATGCCGCCCCCTTTCCAAACCCCAGTTGTTTTATTAATAAACAAAAATGGGGAATGTAAGGAAAAAGGACCAGCCAAAGAAACACACGTGAGAAGAGCCAGAAACCTTTGGTCTGCAACCAGAACTAAAGAAATGCACCCTGACCCTGAAACCAGTGCCAAAGAAATATACTTTAGCCCTGGAATCATAGCCAGTGAAAGAAATACACCCTAATCCTAAAATTAGAGCCAAAAGGCTAAAAAGGACCTGTGAAAGAAACATACTTTGGCCCTGAAACCAGAACCAAATCTGACCCTACACCTGTGCAGAAAACCAACCAATCGCTGAGCAGAAGATCTAGCCATTCTGGGCTCAGGGATTTAAATCTAACCAATCCCCACCCTGAAATTCTCCCTGGAAAAAAACTCTGCCCCCTAAGAATCAGTATATAAAC